CACCCCAAACCCCTAAACCCCTAACTCTGAACCCTGCTCGAACTGAGGTGTTTGCTATTTTAGAGCAGCCCTTATGCCTCTGCCCTGAGGCCCACCACGTTCCAGAAGCCCTGCCTCCCCGAACCCTGAACCCGAGGTATGGGCGCCGAGCCGGCTTCCAAGGCAATCAAGGCCCGGGAAGCCCTTTAGGGGGTTTACGAAGATAGGGGTACCCCGCCCATATATACCCCAAAATACTACATCATCCTGTTAGAGGAATCCCAAACGGGTACCCCTTTTTTTCTGAAACTCCCTTTACAGTCTTTAGAGAGTTCGGGGTTGAGAGTTTGGTGGGCCACTCTTCCAGTCAGGGTTCTCTAGAACCGGCCCTTTGGTTTCGGGCTTGACCTCAAACTCCGAACCTTTATCCTAACCCTGAACCCTGAACTAGTTGGCGTGCAAGCTAGCAGTCCCTCAACCACCCCGGCTTTTTGAGGCTGTGCAAGCTTGCTTCCAAAACAGCATCCCGTCAGGAGGAATTGCTTCAAAATACAAATGAAAAGTTTCCAAACCCATACTAGTTTCGCGAGCTTGCTTTGAAGAACATACCTTCGGAACTTTTCCGACCCAGGAATGAGAACTTTGTGTTTGCCAATGGAGGGGTGGGAGGCTACGCCTGCTTTTTTAGACTGTGCCGGCTTGCTCTGAAGAACGTCAGGCTGTCAAGAGGAATGGCTTCGAATTACATATTGATCTTTTCCAGCCCCGGTCATACTGCTCGTGAAACTTTTGAGATTTTTGAGCCGTGCAAACTTGTTTTGCTCAAATCACACACGAATCCAAGAGACAGCTAAGACAAGACCTCAGACAAGAATAGCTACACCTTTTTGGGGGTCAAGCCCACTCCTCCACCCACTCCAGGGAGGCCAGTTGCATGGTGAGGCCATCATGATCTCGGAGGACTTCATGCGGAGGAACGGAACTCTCAATGGGAACGTGCTGGCCCCGACACTGCAGAAATTTCATGGAGCTTGGTCTCTCCCAGACCCCCTTCAAGGCTAGTGAGGTTATGCTTCAGGTCATGAACTCACCAACTCCGGATACTTTGCGTGGGGTGTGTGTGTGTGTGTGTACACACCCTTCCAACCAGGCGAATCTACCCAAAAGCAGAAAGATCATGGCCATCCCTAAACCCTAAACCCTAAATCCTAAACGACAAGCCTTGCAGCCAAGCAAGGTGCTGACGTTCACTGTGACGAAGGATTGGTTCAAGGAGGGCACGGAGGCGTGGCCCCACCCCAAAACCCTACACCTGACAAGCCCTACACCCCTAAAAACCCTAAATCCTAAGCTCTAAACCCTGAACCCGTAAACTCAGAGTTTCAAGGCGCAGGGCTCCGGGCTTTGCCTCTAGGAAGGTTTCGCCGCGCCTCGGCTTTAGAAGAGTTTCACAGCCCCTACTGCACTCGAGAACTCGAGATAGAATCACCCTAAACCCTAAACCCTAAACCCTAAACCCTAAACCCTAAACCCTAAACCCTAAACCCTAAACCCTAAACCCTCAAGCCCTCAAGCCTGGGTGAGATTCTTGCTGGCAGGATCGCAGCCGACTGCTGCTCCGGTGCAGCCCGCGGGCGGAGGAGCAGTTTCCGAAGAGGCCGGCCGGGGGTTCTTATCTTCTGGTGTGTTTAGGGTTTAGGGTTTAGGGCTTGGGGTTTAGGGTTTAGGGTTTTGGGTTTAGGGTTTAGGGTTTGGGGTTTAGGGAATTAGGCTTTGGGGTTCAGGGTTTGGGGTTTGGGGTTGAGGGTTGAGGGTGGAGGGTTTGGGGTTTAGGGTTTAGGGTTTGGTTCAGGGTTGAGGGTTGGGGGTTTCCTCTGGTTTGGATGTTACGTTTTGGGGGCTTGCTTTGGGTGGGGCTTCGGGCTTGGGGTACGCCGCAGCTGCAGAGTGTCGAGTTAGGGTTTAGGGTTTAGGGTTGAGGGTTTAGGGTTTAGGGTTTAGGGACCCTAAACCCAACGCCGGAAACCCTAAGCTCCCCGAAGGGTCTGGAGCTCTAAACCCTATTTAGGGTTTAGGGTGTAGGGTCTAGGGTTTAGGGTTTAGGGTTTAGGGGCCCTAAACCCTACATAAACCCAACCTGGCCCGCTTCAACCAGGTGAGCCCTCACACCGCGCCAGTGGACATTTGGCAGCGCGTGCACAGGGGAAAATGGGTCCCGCGTGCCACGTCTAAGTGTCACTAAATCCTCAAAACCCTAAACCCTAAACCCTAAACCCTAAACCCTAAACCCTAAACCGCAATACCAGTGGTATTACCAAGAAAATTAACAAAAAAACATCTATCGCCCCTGGCGCCTTCTCCCATTTCCTTCACCGGACAGGCGCAGCTCTTCGTTCATTCTCGGGGGGTGTCGAGTGTAGGTCTGAGGGGGTCTCGGAGCGGCCTTTTGGGGGCTTCGGGGGGTTGAGGGAGGCTACCCTAAACCCTAAACCCTAAACCCTAAACCCTAAACCCTAAACCCTAAACCCTAAACCCTAAACCCTAAACCCTAAACCCTAAACCCTAAACCCTAAACCCTAAACCCTAAACCCTTAAACCCGGTCAGGCTTGTGGGTGCAGACTGTCGGCATCCCTGAAGGGGCCCTCTCGGTTCCATCTCTCGTTGTCGTACCTTGCAGTCTGGATTTGGGGTTTGGGGTTTCGGCGGTTTAGGGTTTAGGGTTTAGGGTCTAGGGTTTTAGGGTTTAGGGTGTAGGGTTTAGGGTTCAGGGTTACCCCCCCCCCCCCTTTTTTGACCCCCCCCCCCTTTCTTTGCAGAGCATTCCACCGGGAGCCGAGCAAGCCTTGGAGCAGCAGCGTCGTCATGCTCGGAAGATTTGTAAGCAGGGCCTCTGGCTGGCTTCAGGGGGCTCCGGACGGCTTCAGATGGCTTCGGATGACTTGGGGCTTTTTGTGTTTGAGGGGTTTGAGGGGTTGAGGTTGCTTGGTTTTGGAGGAGTTTAGGGTTTAGGGTTTAGGGTTTAGGGTTTAGGGCTTGAGGCCCATGGAGCGCAACCTCGGAAGCCCTGCGTTCATGCTGTTTGAGGGCAAGGCAGGCGTAGCGACCTGCAAGAAGCAGACACAAGCAAAGCCTTGTGATCTGTTTGGAAACCTCAAAGTCCTGTGCTAGACCCCTAAACTAACTAAACCCTAAACCCTAAACCCGGAACCCTGAACCCTGAACCCTGAATCCTAAACCCTAAACCCTAAACCCTAAACCCTAACCCCCTAAACCCTAAAACCCCAGGGCAGGGATTGAAGCATGACAGCATCTGCTGCCGGCCGCCCTTGTGGAAGAAAATGCCGGCCGCCAGTGGAAAGGCTGTCGGGTGGGAAGGGGGCGCCCGGGCGCCTGGATTGGGGTCTTGGGGCCTGCTTTTTGGGGTTTGGGGTTTAGGGCCGTTTAGGGTTCAGGGGTATCTAGGGTTTAGTTAGCGAGTGTTCGGTGTGGGGGGTCCTTGCTCAGTTTCGCCACTGCGTTCCAGCTCGACAAGGAGACCATTCTTATCTGTTTATATTGGACCCTTCTGGACAGTCTTGCTGAGGATCGGTGTGATGTTTAGGGCATTTCGGGCTAGACAGCTCACGGTTGCATACTTCGTTCGCGCAGAAGGCCAGCTAAACCGGACCCCAGTGCTTACGCGGCACGTCCCCCATGCCCTACACCTTTGCCTCCTAACCCAAAAAACCCGAATCCCTAAGGAGCTGCAGGCCCAACAACCTAAGTCCTAAACCCCATGCCCCAAAAGTCAAGGAGGGCAGGGATGTTCGCCCAAACCCCCCTACTTACGGTTGGTTAGCAGGGAATGAGGGAGTTAGGGCCCTATATATACCCTTTAAGGGAGCATGTAGGGCCCCTACTAACCAACAGTAAGCTTAAACCCCAAGCCGCAAACCCAGCCAGGACGGTGTGCCTTGTCTCCCTGGTGGTGGCTCTCAGCACCTTGACATCATTTCGTTTTCCCCTAAACCCTAAACCCTAAACCCTAAACCCTAAACCCTAAACCCTAAACCCTAAACCCTAAACCCTAAGCCTTAAACCCTGACCCATAAGCAAGGAGAGTACGTCTGATGCGCCGCCTCAAGCTTCTATGGATTGGTTGTCCTTCGGATTGGATTTCGGGGTTCGGGCTTTGAGTACGAACTTGTTCGGCTTGGCTTGTCCGTTCTACTGTCATCCCGCTTCTTGGCCGACCATTGTCCTCGCCCTGCTCCTTGGCTTCATCTCTGGCGCTGTCTCCACTGCCTGCCTTTTCTTCCATTTCAGGCCTTCCTTCACACAGGTGGGCCAAGAGCAAGCCCTCAATCCGCGGCTGCGCGGATATTTGCATGCAAGGCCAGGGTCATAGGGATCTTCCGTTAACTACTAGGGTTGGTTCTCTTGAGGTTACTATTAGGGGTCCGCTTCCTGAGGTGAGCGCATTCCTGGCCCCTCTGCAGGACTTTGAGGTGCCAGAACCATCAGAAACCTCCTTTCATTGTGTGCAGTCGCCCCGTGGGAACTCTCCTGTTCCTGATCCTGCCAGTCACGTATCCCAATCGGTCCCTGCCGCTTCCCAGGTGCAATTGCAGGCCCCCAGGGCCCCGGACCCTACTGTGGGCCGAGCAGGTACTGAGGCCGCCTTCCCTCCTTGCCCTCCCAATCTCTTGGTGTTGGGCCGAGGCCTGTCCGTGACGGGCCAACTCAGTGGTGAAGATCGGATCCGCCGAGCGTGGCGTGCCGGGTGCTGGGCGAGAGAAGTCCTTGCTCACAGGGTTGGTTCACCCTTGCCTTCGCCCACGATCCCCTTGGCACCCAAGTTCTATTGTGTGGTTGGGGGGGGTAACTTTGAGCCTGCTTTGTACCGCACTTATCGTGCCTTCTCTTCCGCTGTCGGTCCCCTTGAGGGAAGCCCCGTGGTCTCGCACGCTTTCCCATCGGAAAGTGAAGCGCGTGCTTACACCACTGCTTCCGGCCTCACCTGGCCTTTGGGTCGCTGATCATGGCCACCTTCGGTCCCGACGATGTGAAGGTGTTCAGCGAGGCGCCTTCCCTCTTTGTGTACGAGCATGCTGGGGATGGAGACTCAATCGTCGAATCCCAGGCCATTGTCCTGCTAAAAAGAGAACATGGTCTCCTGCTACTGCTGCCTGCGGGGGCCATCCCCGAGGAGGAGTTGGTCCAGGGAGTTTTGGCCCCAGTGCCCGACTTACTGGGCCCTTCTCGGGTTATAGAGCTTGGTGCTGTGCGCCTGGTTGGTTCAGAGGTGGTTCCTGTTGCAGATATGGTGCTCACCGCATTGCTTGTGGACTTCTCAACCGCGGTTCTTGCCAAGCTTTACGCCGTCAACCAGGCCGAAGATCCCGAGTTGCTCCTTTCCTTCTGCCCGGATCAGCCCGACTTGATCCCAGACCCTTCCGTTGCTTTGCAGGTCGCCCTGGAGTGGGCACAGCAACCACAGGAGGAGGTAGGCGAAAGGTTGGCGTTCTACTCTGCAGACGAGCTCCCTCCACCTGTCAGGAAGCGCCCCGTGCTCAGGCTGAGCAGGGAAGATCCTCTGCAGCGGGCCGCCGGCTTGGATACCGCTACCGCAAAGTCTGCAAACCTGTTGTGGCAAAACCGAAGCGACCCACGGCGCTGCTCGCCCAGCAGCTTCAGCAGATCACGGCAGTGATCCCGGGGCTGGCTGCTCAGGTCGAGGAGCTAGCAAAGGCGCAGGCAGCCTTACAACAGCAGCAACTGCTGCAGCCTTCGCCCCCTCCAGTTGCCGGGCCTGGTTCCACTGTGGCTCAGCTTGCGGCGCCGCTGGGGCTAGGAGCTTCCCCAAAGTTCCTCCCGGGCTAATTGGTCCTCCCCCGGGGCGTCGTCCAACTGCAGCCCCGCCGCACACCCTCATGACATTCCCAGAACAGGAGTGCGAGGAGGCTGCCGAGAACCTAGCCAATCCCCAGAGCTCCGAGTCACCCTTGGCTCAGGCGGTGCTGGCGCAGTCCCAAGCACTCACAGCTCTGGTTGCACAGCTGTCCACAGGAGACACCGCGGATCTCAGCCTGCCCGGAGCATCAGTGGGGGCTCGAGGGGCAAACCAACGAGCAAAGCTGCAGGAGGCGCTCGCCAGCAACAAAGGCGTCTTCTACCACGCTGTCCTCCAAAACATGGCCCGCCGCATGTCCCCTGCCAGCAGCCACTCTTCCGATCCGGCCGAGCTCTTGAGCCACGGAGTCTGTCTTACGAGGTATTGGGAGAGATTCGGAGGATTCCACCGCGCAAAGGACCTAGGTATTCTGGCTTTCCAGGTTGCAAATGCCTTGGACGCGATGCAGGCTGGAAAGACTGCCCAGGCGGCAGACCACCTGGCCCTCCTGGCCGTTTGTTTGGAACAGGGTGCTCTAGACGGTGGTCGGCTCGACCTAGGGTTTCAGCTGACCTTTCTGGAAGAACCGCCGGCCGCCCTCTTCTCGGACAGAGCTCTTCAAACGGGGATTCAGGCAAGAGCGTTCGCGCCGCTGGCTGCTCAACGATGGGTGGCCGTTGTCCTTGCTTACATGAAGGAGCTCGAGGTGATAACCAGTCGCAGGCTGGAAAACCAAAAAGGAAGGGCTTCGCACAGTGGCTCCGAAGCCCCAGGCGACAGGCCCCAGAAGGCTGCCAGTCCAAAGAAGCCCCCTCGGAAAAAGCAACAGCAGCCGGCCCAATGAGGCCGCCCGCTCTGTCTGGTGATACGAGTGGCGACGGCGCCCCTTTTAATGGCTTACCCCCACCACCATCAGCCGACGTTGTGCACGCTGCCCTCTCGGAAGTCTGCACGGCTTCCTCTTTCTTTGCTGCCCTGCCGAGGTGGTTGGTCCGCACCAGGACTCCATTCTCGGCTTTCCTGGCTTTTTCTTTCCGTTCTCCGCACAGCCGCTGCGGCACTGCCCCAGCTTCCGCTATCTTTCCACTGCCGGCCCCTTTCTTGGGCATCTTCCAGAGCAGTGGCCCACGGCTTGCTAAATCTGAGTGGCGTCGGCTTAGATTGCGGCGCGCCCTCCACTGTGTCGTTATGGCTTTGAATTTCCTTCATGACCAGTTGAAGTGGCCCTCTCAGACCGAGCTGCTGTGGAGACATCCAAATCCCCACCAGAGGCGATGCTTTAAACGCATCTGGAAGTTCTTGATAGCGTGTGACTCCCGCCAGGAGCAGATGCTTCTGGTACCTGGCAGGTCGGGTCCTGAATTAGTTTGCAAACTTCTCGAGCTCGAGCACCTTGCTTCTGCTATATGCGACTCGAGCCAGGGCTCTTACGCGTCCTCCATGCTGGAGGACGAGCCTTTCTGTGAACCGCCTTCGGCTCCTCAGGCCGGCCACGGACTTCCCAGCCCGCCTCCGAAGGTTGTGAGTTCTGGCCTCGCTACTGCTGACATAGTGAGGCCAGCCCATGAATCTCCACATGACGCATTCCGGGTTGGTTCCCCTAATCCTGGACCCCTCCCTAGTTCGTCGGGTTCTTTAGGTAATCCCTCGCCCGGGGGTAAGCCGTCCCCCGCAGCTGTGCCATCTGTTTTGGCTGGCCATGATGACTGCGCTCAGGCGCTGCCGTGCCTAAGTGGTTTCCCTAAGCCTGGACCCCTCCCTAGCTCTTCAGGTTCTGTAGGTAATCCTCCACCCGCGGGTAAGCCGTGCATTGCACCTGCGACGCTGGCGCGATCCAAGCCAGCAGCTGGGGTTGGGTACCCTAAGGCCTATCCCTTCCTTAGTGACCCTAGTGGTTCCGTAGGTAATCCCCTGCCCAGGGGTAAGCCGCTTCCTGCACATGTACCGCTTGCGCAACCTGGGGTTGGGTGTCCGGGTTCTTTAGGTAAGGGTCCGGGTTCTTTCGGTAAGGATAAGCTGCTTCTTGACACTGTGCCGTCAATTCAGCCTGACAGTTCATTGCCCCAGCTCCAGCCCTACAGGCCTCTCGATGTCTCCCGACTGAGGATCAGTGGCAGGGGAAACTGGGACGCAAAGCTGTGGCTAGATGGCGTATTATGGCTGCCGTACCAAGAACCCAAGATACTGCAACATGGCCTTGACCCCACTTGGGCAGATCTTCCGGACGTTAGTCTTGAGAGTCCCACAGAGAACCATCGACTGGCTCTCCTCTGGTCCACACAGAACATTTTGCACCTCAAGCGGGGCCCGCCCAACTTGCGCACTGCTTGCCGCGTTTTCAACGCATTCAAGGATGATTCCAGGGACAGGCAGATAGGGGACCGCAGGGCCCAGAATTGTCTTGAGTACTCTATCAGTGGACCCTCCAAAAACCTACCGTGCGGAGCCCAGCTGGTCTCACTCCTCGTGAAAAGATACTCCCAGAAAGTCGTTGCTTTTATAAGCGACCGCAAGGATTTCTATCACCAGATGCGAGTCTCGGAGGAGAGGGCGTGTTCAAATGCCCTGGGTTTTTCCTTCTCGCCCGAGTCCTTTGATGCCGAGGGTTCCAGCTCTGTGGATTCGCCTCATGACGCGAGCTATGCCGAACAGGCCCACTCACTTCTCACTTGTGGGCTTGAGGGCCACCGCCTCGCCAGCTGCGACGTCGCTTCCCACAACAAGAGAAAAGGCGTCCTCGTGCCCTCGGAGGTCACTCCATGCTTCATGTCTCTTTTCCAAGGCGACCATTTAGGCGTGGAGTACGCCCTCGAGGCTCACTCCCAACTCCTTTCCTTCTATGGCGCTTTGCCTGATGGACAGCGGCTTCTCGGAGGATGTCCTGCTCCCTTGTCTGACACCTGGGCTGCTCTTGTCATCGACGATTTTGTCAGCCTCTCTGTGGTGCCAGCTGCTACTAAAGCTGAGGAGACCCAAGCCGCTGCGCTCCATCGAGCCGCGATCTGCGCGTATAAAGCTGAGGAGGTCATGGGATCTCCCGAAAAAGACGTCATTGGCGCCACCAATTTCAAAGCAATCGGAGCCGAAGTTATCTCTGGAGACGCTGCCGTAAGAAATGGCCTTGTGACGGCTGCTGCCCCTGAGTCGGCGCTTACCTCTTGCTGTCCTCTGTTTGCGTGCGGCCAGGCTCCCTATTTCGTCCCCGCTCCTCTTGTCAAAACTCACTGGGGCCCTTGTCTCCGCTGCCATGTTTAGAAGGTGCTGCATGGTTCTCCTGTCTAAGGTCTTTGAGCCTGTTGCCAAGACCACCGCCTGCCCATCTGACATGAAGAGGCCTATTGGCCTCTCCCGGCGCACTGCCCAAGAGCTTGCCTTATGTGGAGCCCTCATGCCGCTCTTCGCTTCCGACCTTTGTGCCGAGCACTCTGAGTCTCTCTACGCCACTGATGCCTCACTTGGCCGGGGTGCGATATGCAAGACTACCATCCCTCGAGACCTTAGTCGAAGCCTTTGGTTGAGTAGCGATAGGAAGGGGGGCTACAGCCGTCTTGACTTCCCTGCGCGGGCAAATTGCCGGGCAGCTGGCATCCCTCTCTCCGACGAGGATTGTGAGGCCCATCTTGATCCTGAGGACATTCCCAGAGCACCTGAGTTCATCCTTGACCTCATCGAGATATGTGGAGGATCCGCTGTCGTCTCAAAGGAGGCCTCCGAGCTTGGGCTTGTTGTTGGGCCTCCCATAGACATCTCTGAGAGCCCACATTTTGACATCCTCGATGCATCTTTCGGAGTCTGGCTTGGCTCTATGCTTTCTTCGGGTAGAGCTAGGTCGCTCTTTCTTTCCCCTCCTTGCGCCACCTTCAGCCCTGCTGCTTACCCCAAACTGGGCACTCCTGCGAAATCTGAAAGAATCAGCCGAGGGCAGTCTAGGATCAAGATCGGGAGCGCGCTTGCTCAACGATGCCTAGCTTTCTTCTGCATCGCCTGGTACTGGGACGTCCCCACGCTCTTCGTGACGCCAAGACTGTCAAGGCTTGCCTGGACAAGATGGTGGAAGGCCGTCGCAGGTCGCAATGGAGTCGAGGAGTGGCATCTTGCTAGTTGCAGGTATGGGAGTCCCCACCGAAAGGAGTTCCGATTCCTTGGCTTCGGAATCCCAAAGCGCCGGCTTGAGCTAAAGTGCAAGGGGGGTCACCCTCACGCAGGGCTCCAAAAGGCCGCCAGTCAAGGCTCCGCTGCCTTTTGCCCTGGTCTTGCGTACCAGATTGCAAAAACTCTTGCTGAGGCAATTGGTGCCCCTCAGCAGCGTGCCCTGGCATTGAAAACATCATTATCAATGACTGCCTTTGTGCGGCAAAATGGCAGGTCACAACCGTCATACCCTGGCGTTCCTCTAGCCACATCAACGTGTTGGAGCTAGCTTCGCTTGTTGCTCTGTTGCGAAACATCGCGCGGGAGGAGCCTGACGCACGAGTCACGGCGCTCTCCGACTCTTCTGTCGCAAAGAGTGCCCTGGCAAAAGGTCGATCGACCTCGAGGGCGCTCACTCCTGCCCTTCAGCGGGCTACCGCGCTCCAGCTCGCTTTTGGTTTATACTTAGCCATAGGGTTGCTCCTACAAGACTGAATACTGCAGATGCTCCCACTCGCTTCAGGGAGCTCCCCGAGAGAGCAGCTGTTGCGATTCACAAAGCTTTCACTGTCGATCAGTGCCACGCGCTTGCTGTCCTGAAGCTCTCGAGGCCCCTTGCCTCCTGGGCTCGGATCTTCATCGTGGTCACATGCGTCCAACGTTGTGGTGCTCTGTCAGCTGCTGCCTTCCCTGTCGCCTCCGAGGGCTCATCTCCTTCTTCCCCTTTTGAGCCTTGCGACGGGGAGATCGCCCGTCCCTCTGTCCACTGCGGCCTCCTGCTCATCTGCGCTGCTGCTGTTGTGCTCTCTTGCTGCCTGCCTCTTCTCGGCTGGTTCGCGAGCCGCGGGCCGCCGTTTTCTGAAGCCTGCATAGAGTCTAATCGCAGGCCTGCGTGCGGGGCCGGGCGTCACCTCTGTAGCCGTCTCCAAGTTGCCAAGCCTTTCTACCCTCGCCGTTCTTTCTCCAGGAGCCCCTCCCCTCGCCTACTCTCTTCTACCTTCCTTTCTCTCTTGAGTCTCTGTCTCACTGGTTCGGCTTCGTTGTTCGGTGCTGGTTTCGTTGTAAGGGTTGTAGTCCTTAGCAGCCTCGCCCGAGCCATGGCCACACCAGCACCTGCGACACCTGCTGACGCCCGCAGAGCTGAGAGAAGGGGGCCCATCACGCTCGTTGCTGACCGGATTGTTCGACCAGTCACCCGCGAGAATCGCGCTAAGCTTGCCCTTGCATTTGATACTTGGCTGATCAGGAATGAGCGTACATCTCTTTCATACCTGCTGGATCTGCCCCTAGGCGAGGCTGAAGCTGTCGCTGCCGCATTGGTCAAGTATGGCCAGTACATGTTCAAGTCAGGAGTCGCCTATGGAAAATTCTCTGAGACGATCAATGCCGTAGCATCTTTGCGACCCAGTCTGCGGCGGAACTTATCTGCCGCTTGGGACTTGGCTTTTGCCTGGCAGGCCGAGGAGCCACATGAGCATCATAAGGCCATGCCCAAAGGTATCCTCCTGGCGATTCTCGCTACAGCACTAGCGTGGGGCTGGCTTCGGGAAGCTGCAGCTCTGGCCTTAGGGTGGACTGGACTGCTACGAGCAGGCGAGATCATTGGAGCGCTTCGCTCCGATCTCATCCTGCCTGAGGACTGCGGCCCGGGAGTTGAATATGGCATCCTACAGATTCGTCCCCAAAAACTCGAGGACGGGCTGCCAGACACCAGGCTGTAAAGTTGGACCCCGCTGACGTCCTGAAGCTTCTTTCTTTGGCCTTTGGAAAACTACATCCGAACAGTCGGCTCTGGCCTTTTTCAGCTGGTACCCTTCGTCGACGGCTTTGTCTTCTGCAACAACGCCTTGGGCTTGTGCACCAGGGAAAGGTCGTCTTCGAGCTCTCGTCGTTGCGCCCAGGTGGCGCAACCTTTCTGCTACACTTGACAGAAAGCCCTGACCTGGTCAGACGAAGGGGCAGGTGGCTTACAAACCGTGTCATGGAGATCTACTTGCAGGAAATCGTCGCGACAACTTTCATTCCTAGACTGGAGCCTGCGGTTCGTGCTCGAGTTGATACTATGGCTTACAGTTTTTCGTTGTTGCTGGAAAAGGCTTTTTTCTTTGAACGTGCGCGGATTCCCCGGGAGGCTTGGTTTTACTTGCTCGAAAAACCAGCAGACGCTTGAGGAGGATGTGGTGGTGCGGTTTTCTCACGGCATCGCCGTCCTCACCGGCTTCGTGCCCCGGCTTGGGTGGTGTGGGTTTTCGAGGAGCTGCTTGGAGCTCCCAGTTAGCTTGCATTCTACAGGAGCATGCTTCTGGCCCTCCAGCAGCTCGCATGATGGTGGTGCCGATTGCACAGCACATGGCACCTACACGTACTTCTGCATGACGCTGCGCGGAAAAGGAAACGAGCTTGCTTAATAAGCCCTGAAGGATCCGAGCCACGTTTGAATGGGGGTCCGGGATTGTCGGGACTCCTTTTGGGCCCTCACTGAGCAGGCTCTCGCGGCTGGGGCCAATTTGGGGGTTTCCGAAAACAGGGGTGCCCTTTTTGGGGGGTTTAGGGTTTAGGGTTTAGGGTTTAGAGGTTTGCTGTGATGGGGTGCAGGTGCTGTGAAGGTTAGGGTTCGGAACAAGCTCGAAAGCTTCGTGAGGTGCGAAGAGCAGCTTTGGCCCGATTGTGGAGGGCCTCTAACACTTTCTCCCACCCCGTGCGAGGCGGCGAAGCCACCCAGACCTATTCCTTTTAGGGTTTAGGCCTAAACTCAGGCAACAGTCCACTTCCAAAAACTCAGTCAGGAGGGGGGCCGGAAGGCCAGGACCCAGGCACAGGGGGGCTAGGGGCGGGCCAGGGGGCAAGGGGGATCAGGGGACCAAAAAAATCGAGATTTTTTGAACCTGCGAGCGGACCCCCTGGGCTGGGGCCCTGGGGGTACACCCCCCTGAAAAGGTCAGGCGTGTCCAGGGCCATGACTGGAGGGTTTAGGGTAATTACTTAATTAAGCATAAGGGACAAGAGGCCCACCCACATGCTGTGAGAGGCGGGCGAGCGACTTGGGTCGGCTTGTGGCATCGAGGTCAAAGGGCTTAAGCGCCGCCCCCCAATGTGGGGGCGGCCTAGGCCCTGAGTTTCAGGGGGTTCTATTCTTTTTGGGGTATAAAGCGGCACCCCTATTTTGGGAATTGAAGGAAGCCTGTTTTGATCTTCGGCCGTTTGTCAGTTCCTGCTTTGACGTACATGATGCTAGTGGTCTGCATGTAGTGTGCTCAGGGCGAAACGATGCATTAATCCACCCCCCCCTCACGCCTTAAGTCTTTCCCGAACTCCAAACCATCTCTTCGTGATTTGGGTTTTCAGGGGTTTAGGGTCCGGGGCTTTAGGGCTTTAGGCTTGAGGGTTTACGGGCTTGAGCTCAGATGTCCGCCCTATCCCTTCCCCCCCTTGCCTGAAACCCAAGAGTCCGAAGCCCCCAAGCCCTGAACCCTAAAATAACTCTAAGGTTTAGGGTTCAGGGTTCAGGGTTTGGGAAGAACTAAAGCCCCCTGAACCCCGAAGCCCCTTAGACAATGGAACATGGATGGGGGCCCTTAGTTCCCCCAAGCCCTACAAACCCCAGAAACCCTAAAAACCCGAGATCCTAGAAACTTGAGAGGTTTAGAAACCTGAGAAACCGTTTAAAGCCTACAGAAACCATAGCAACGCTAGAAACCCCATAAACCCTAACTCCATAAACCTTGCGCTTGTAGGGTTCAAGGAGGGAGCATTAGGCCCCTTGATTTTCATACCCCCCTGAAGCCCTCTCCCTTATAAACCCTAAACCCTAAACCCTAAACTCAGGGCCTAGGCCGCCCCCTACAGAGGGGGGCGGCGCTTAAGCACTTCGACCTCGACGGCGCAAGCCGACCCAGGTCGCTCGCCTGCCTCCCGCAGCTCGGGGGTTGGTAGCACCCACGATGGGCCCGGTACCGGAGCACGTTCTCCTCGGGACCAGCCTGGTCCCTTAATAAAGTAATTGCCCTAAACCCTCAGGTTATGACCCTGGAGTTGGCTGACCTTGTCGGGGCCTGAACCCTGAGCCTCCCTTGCTGGGCTCCCCTCAACCTCCCTAGCCTTACTGGCCCCTCTCTTAACATGTGTGTGGACCGGGCCTTTCTGCACTTCTGCCTGGAGGCTTGGCTTTTTTGTGAACCTGCATTTTAAACCACCGTGACGGAATGAAGAAGTGTTAGGAAAAGTACGCAGTTGGTTTGAGTTTAGGCCTAAACCCTAAAAGGAATAGGTTTGGGTGGCTTTGCAGCCTCGGACGGCGTGGGGTGGGAGAAAAGTGTTAGATGGCCTTCCACAATCGGGCCAAAGCTGCTCTTCGCGCCTCACGAAGCTGTCGAGCTTGTTCCAAAACCTAACCTTCACAGCATCTACGCCCTATCACAGCAAGCCCTAAACCGTAAACCCTAAACCCTAAACCCTAAACTCTAAACCCTAAACCCTTAACCCTAAACCCTAAACCCTCAGCCCTAAACCCTAAACCCTAAACCCTAAGCCCTCCCATCTCCGACATCCCCTCCGAGGCCTGCACTTGGCTCTCAGCGGACCCATGAGTCGGTGCAAATGGTGCCGGCCTTTGTCACGGGACTGTTGGAACCCTTAAACCCCCCAAACCCTAAACCCTAAACCCTAAACCCTAAACCCTCAACCCTAAACCCAAAACCCTAAATCCTAAGCCCTAAACCCCAAATCCCCCCACTAGCGCTTCCGGGGGGTAGGCGTGGAGCTTGAGCTATGTTGATGTAAAGAGAGGGTGCAGTGTTTAGGGTTTAGGGCTGAGGGTTGAGGTTTGAGGGAGGCAGGGAGGGAGAGAGAGGGAGAGAGGGAGACAGAGAGACAGAGAGACAGAGAGACAGACAGACAGAGAGACAGAGAGACGCAGAGACAGAGAGACAGAGAGACAGAGAGAGAGACAGAGAGACAAAGAGAGGGATATACATATTTTGATATACACATTCATGCCTTTATTCAGGTTATTTCAGGTTTACGAAAGCTCTAAGTTAGGGCTTTTGGGTTGAGTTTAGGGTTACCCTTGACGAACTACTTTGGGATAGTTTATAAAATCTACGGGATGTTTTTCAACAGGTTACACAATAAAGGGACCCCCTACCCCCTAAACCAAAACTCCCCAAGCTCTGAACCCTAAACCCACCCCTGCCATCCGGCCGAAAAGATGTTTCAATGAAGTGTGCGGGAAGGGGTGGGCCTTGGGTATGTAGCTGACGACCCGACGCCCGAAACTACTCTTCTCTCTCATTGAGCATGATGACCTCTCAGGTTTGTGTGGTTTTTGGTTCCCGCCGCACTCCGACTCCGTGTAGTTCGTGTACTGTCCACGTTTCGCAGCACAACATACTGCCAGAGGTCTTGCATCACCCCTCCAAAGACCCAAGACGAAACCTCCTGAACAAAACGCCCCAAACCCTAAACCCTAAACACTAAACCCTACACCCTAAACCCTA